GATCTGTATAATGGTGATATTTTATATATTTTATATACTAAGAATATGAAGAAAAAAATATTATTATATATATATATTATATATATAATATGTATATATATAAATATGTATATATTTCGTGCCTATTCTCCTCAATTCTGAAAGAGTGGCAAATTTTAATTGTCGTTTATTTCAGAATGGAATTTTATTAAGCTCTATCGATTGATTTACAATCAATAATAATAAGAATCAAAAAGTAATAAGAAGAAAATTAAACCAACAATAAGTTTCATGTTTTCATGAAATTGAAAACTTTGCCTTAAGCTAGCCACTAACCAATGGGTAATTTCACCGGCTGGCATGAGTTCCCTCGCTTAATTAACGAACGTTGCGTAAGAACGAATTCGTTAAAGCGAATAGAAATTAATTAAATTGGCTTTTCGAGCCGTGAAATTAAAGTGTAAAAGTATTTTCATATATTTGTAATTTTATATATATATATATATAATATTATATTATATTATACATATATATATGATATATATACAGATATATATATTATGGTATATAGATAGTACACTGAATACAAAATGAATCATTATGAAAAGTTATCTGAAAAAGAAAAAAATCTTTTCATTTGAAACTTAATTATTGATTTTTAGATAAATCAAGTTTGAAAATTATTTAAGTACGTACGAAATTGATTAATTTTATTAATTTTTTATTATTAAAGTATAAATATATGTTTATAATAAAAGTTTAAAATATAAATATATGTTTATGCAAATTTAAAATTTTATAAATTATATTATAGAAATATAATTAAAATAAAAATCTGTTTTGCTTTAAATATTATAATATTGGATATTTTTTACATTATTATATGCATTTTGTAAATTTTTAAATAAAATGTTTTATAAAAAATAAATTATGAAATAAATACTCTTAATTATCATTTTCTTATATTTCATGTTTAAAGTAAAAAATTCTATAAGTTATCGAATTGCAAATGTACTTCTGGTATAAATGGGACGATATTTAAAAGGCAAAATAGATCTTTACTTCAGTTTTCTGTAATTGTGTATAAAATTTTAAATTTGCACATATATATTCAAACTAATAATCTAATTAATTAAAAAAAAACAAAATGACATAAATAATATAATTTTTTCTTATTGAATTTTTTCTATGTTTTTACATATTGAATCATTAAAAAAAAGAAACATTTAATTGTTTAAATAGCACTCAATTATTTGTTATAAACAAACTGTAAATATATGATAATTCAAAAAAATAAAAATAAATATTTTTGTATCTCTAAAAAATGAAAATAATCTTCTTTAGAATTTCATTTTATTGAAAACTTTTATTGAAAACTAACTTTTCATTTATCATATAAATATTGGATTTGCCTAAGAATATCATACCAGTGAAACTACTTAAGATTCTAAAAAATAAAAAGACATAAGTTTGGGAATTAAAAAATAAAGTGAATTACATTTATATTTATCGTTATCTTTTAAAAGAAAAGAGAATACAAATAGGGGAAATTACCTCGCTACAACCGCCCCATTGCCAATTATTCGGATGGCGTGTTCTGACCCGGTTGTCGCACGAGCAATCGGTGAGTTCGCCCCTGGAACAAGCTCTGGTGACACTATAAGCAACCCCTGCCGCTGATATTGCATATACAAATGCTGCTTCGCGACTGTCTGCAAAGATGCATCGGAATTTCTTTGTTACAATGCAACTTTTTCCATTTCTTATTCTAAGTAATTTCATTCTGATAAAAAAAGAAATGAGTCGTCAAAGATTCTAATTATTATAATTTATAATTACAGAGATAAAATTATTTCTAGAAAGATAATTTCTAAGATTATTTCTAAAAAGATAGATATCTTAATTGCTTCAATTTCCAAGGCTGATCATTCTATCTAAAGGATAATACACCTGGATAATTAATAAATATTTGTTTAATTAATTTGTTTATGTATCAATGTTGACACCTATATATATATATGTATGTTTATAACTTATGTATATATCAATATTTATATTGTGTATATAGAATATTAATATGTTTGTGCAATAAATATAAAAATTAATGTAAAAAAGTTTTGATTTATTAAGTTATAAATAACTTAATAAATTTATATTAAATGAAGTGAGACAACAGTGTAATAGAAACAGAATAGTTTACTAACTTTATAATATATTTATTTATATATAACATACTTAATAAATATTTTTCATTATAACAATGCATAATGATAGCAATTATACTATGATAATTAATAAAAAATAAATAATTTAATTTAATAAATTAATAAAAATTAAAAATAAACATACATATTACTTATATATTATTATATTTTTCTTATAATAAGAATTTTGAATAATACTTATATGATGATTAATATAATATTAATATTAAAAATAATCTATATATTATGGCTTTATATTGCATCTGTTTGCACTATATTTATTATTTTCTGTTTTCAAAAATTCATTATCAAATTGAATTTCCATATTAAGTTTATCATTGATATCTAAGACATCCATTCTCATGTCATCTTTGCACTCTGAACTTTCATCTTATCAAAAACATTTCCATCATGTCTAAGCTTTATTCTCTTCAAGACTGAGCTTTTACTTACTGACTAGCATCACGCCGCCAAAAATATTATCCGGATTTTCCGGGGTGATGGAGCAGTTCCATCTTGCCGATCTGAACTGATGCTGACATTCCTCAATCGCCAATCTCGCGCCAGCACTTACTGCCTGTAAATAAAAACCATGAAAGCTGCGAATAGAAAAGTAAAATAGTAATGTGAATGTTCTTATATGTATATATGTATATATGTACTCTCTATCGATTGATTGAGTGACATGCAAGAAGCGGATGTACAAATAACTACTTGTTTGCTAGCTTCTGATTAGATTCGTTTAATATTGAGTCTAATGTTACGACATAACGAAACCGATATCGATGGATAACATGTTGATGTATAATAGGATCTATTGAAGATCTATTGGCGTGTAATTGTGTAATTATAATGGCAGGTAGTTGAAATTGATACGATCTTGATCACTGTAATTAATACTAATTAGTTATTTTTAGAATTATTGTTGGATTTATTGAGGATTTAAGTACTTTAGAATAATTTATGATTTTTATAAAAATTATATACATGGAAAATTAGAATAAAATTTAAATTAGAGAATTTCTAGTAATATTTTATCTGGTAATAATTTTGATATTAAAAAGTTGATAGATAATTTTTTTAAAATTCTAATTATTCTATTCTTTATAAAAGAATTTAAACAGATTGTTTGTAAATACAATTAAAGTAAGATTAATATTTGTATATATATATATATAT